GAATCTTAAGCATTTTAGTTTTTTGGGAAAAGGAGCAAATAAGACCACATACTAACCAAAAAAAGTCAAATAAGGTCTTATTTATGAGACTCTGTCCGGGCTTCGCCATTTGAGGTGGTTTTCGATGGAATTTTTGGATGAAATTTTTTGACCATCTTGTTCATTAAGTCTAGTTTACTCACACCAAATTTCAGCTAACAATTCAATCGGGAAGGCATTCAAATGAATTCTTGAAGATAATTGCGCAATTATCTTCAAGAATTCATTTGAATGCCTTCCCGATTGAATTGTTAGCTGAAATTTGGTATGAGTAAACTAGACTTAATGAGTAAGATGCTAAAAACAATTCATCAAAAAAATCCACCGGGAAACATCCCAAAGTGCAACGGCCGGATAGAGCATCTTAAATAAGACCTTATTTGATCTTTTTTGTTTAGTACGTGGCCTTATTTGCCCCTTTTCTCTAGTTTTTTTTTGGCTAAAGGGTCAAATAGGTACATGAACTAACTTAAAGTGTTCAATTAGCCCCTTATATAGGAGGTTTTGTCTGGCCATCGCCAATTGGGGCGGTTCCCGATGGAATTTTTTGATGAAATTTTTTGAGCATCTTCTTCATTTAGTCTAGTTTACCCATACCAAATTTCAGCTAAAAAATCAATCGGGAAGACAGTCAAATGATTTTTTGAAGATAACTGCGCAGTTAAACAGCGCAGTACATTTCGGAAAATCATTTGACTGCCTTCCCGATTTAATTTTTAGCTGAAATTTGATATGGGTAAACTAGACTTAATGAAGAAGATGCTCAAAAAACTTCATCAAAAAATTCCACCGGGAACCGCCCCAATTGACGACGGCCAGGCAGAACCTCCTATATAAGGGGCTAATTGAACACTTTAAGTTAGTTCATGTACCTATTTGACCCTTTAGCCTTTTTTTTTTTTATAGAGAAGACATGTTCTACGCTCATTAATAAAAGTATTTCTTTAACTTTTCATGGTTGAGCCTATTTGACAACCTTGAAATAAGCTATGAAAAAATCATATATATACTCGTATAATATACTTATTAATAAATCAAAGTGTGAAATAATCTTCTTTATCGGATTCCATCAGAAAATAATTACAATGTTGATGTTTTGATTACTACAGAATTGAATGTCTGAAAAAAGTTATTCCATTCAAAAAAAGAAATTTAAAAAGTTTCGTAGTATTTATTTAGTGAAAATGTTGAATGATAAAGTTGATATATGCCAAAAAAATATACCTTATCAAACGAGTTTTTTTTTATTAGCAGATGGATCCGGTCTAGAATTTGATCGTATAACATTTCAATTACACTTAAAATTGTAAATATTAATTATCCCAAAGAAAGTGCTCACAATGTGAATAAAACTTAGATGTGTCAACAAATAGAACTATCATTTGTTACTGCAATAGTTTATTTCCCAATCCTATTAAGAATAAAAGCATTTGAAGATGTTCTTTTATAAAACTGTAGTGATTATTTTGAAGAAATTTTGTATGATTTGATATTAAATTTGTTACTTTCTAACCACTACAAAAAAACACTCGTTTAGTCACGGACCGTAGTCACGGATTTGGTCCGTGACTAGCCTAGTCACGGACTAGTCACGGACTAGTCACGAAAATTTAAAAAAAAAAGTAGTCACGGATTTGACCGTGACTACAGCCGTGACTACACGTAGTCACGGATTTTTTCCCGTGGCTAACATCCTCCGATTGCCTGTTTGATTTTCCGGCCTGCCTTGTTTTTCTCCGGCGACATAGTCACGGCCACATCCGTGACTACGGCCGTGACTAAATTTAAAAATTAATTTTGCATCCCCCATAAATCAATCCGCAACGGTAATATGTACGGATAAATTTAGTCACGGACATGGCCGTGACTATGTCCGTGACTACTTTGATTTACACGTCATTTACACGTCATTAACACGGATCGGACGCGTAATGGACACGGTATTGCTTAGTGACGGACAAATCCGTGACTAAGTCCGTGACTAAATTTTTTATATATGCAGGAGCAGTTCATTCAACAAAACCACACCAATTCATTCCCAGTATATACAGTATCTGTTTGAAAGATCGAAGGATGTAGTCTGTCTTCTATCATTTTCCTCATTTATGCAGTTAAGGTATGTTATTTGAATTATTATTTTTATTTAGAATTAGTTGGTTCAATTTAAATTATTAAAACTATTAAATTAGTGATGTTGTTAATTAATTAACAACATATTCAACTGTAAGCGTAGTAATGTCATAAAATTAGTTAAACTGTTAGGTTTATAAAATAATTTAATTAAAATTAGTTAGCTAAACGTAGTTTTAAACGTAGTGATCTTTATGTTAAGTGAAATTAGTTAGTTAAACGTACGTTAGTAATGTGTTAATTAAGTGTATTGTGAATTGTTATTGTAATTGTGTATTATTTATTAATTCAAATGACCTTATATACATGTTCAAATTATTGGGTTTAATTTGGTCATATTATTTAATTTAGTGAATTGGAATTGTTAATTGTGTAGTACTAATAACATTAAATGTCATTAACGTAATAATTTAGTGTAGGTTTAAATGTAGGTTTACAAAAATAATTTAATTAAAATTCGTTAGCTAAACGTAGGTTTAAACGTAGCTAGTGATGTGTTAATTATGTTATATTAGTTAGCTAAACGTAGGTTTAAACGTAGTGATGCATTAAAAGAGGACGGAATGAACTAGTTAAATTTAGTTAAATTTAACTAAATGAATTAGTTAAATTTAGTTAAACGTATGTTTAATTTAAATGTAGTGTTAATAAATTACTTAAATTTTTTGTAATATTAGTTAAATTTAAGTATTAGGTAATTACTTATATTTTGTGAATTATTGTTGTGAATTGTGTGCATTTCATTTAATTTAGTGAAAATTAGTTAGTTGATTATTTAGTGAAATAACTCAACTAAAATTTGTTAGTATTATTGTTAGTATTTGAACGTGTATACTTTTTTATTATAATATTCAGGCATAATGTATAAACAAAATAGAAGTTGGATGTATGATAAAGATGCGGTATTGTACGGAATGCAATCAAATTTTCTCGAGGGAGTTGGGGAATTTATTGAATTTGCACTTGAACATCCGGCTTATATGAGTGGTGATAAAATAAGATGTCCATGTTCAAAGTGTAAGAATCTCAAATTTAAAGACCCACACGAAGTTGGGTATGATTTGTACGCGGTCGGTTTTGTTCCCAATTATTATAATTGGACTTCTCACGGCGAACCTTTGGATCCATCTGTTATACCACAAACGGTAGGTTCGTCTCGTTACGTCCCTCCAGAGATGAGTGCGTGGGGAGACCGTGCTGAAATGAGGTGGGACCAACAAATGGTATATGACGCATACGGTGTACCGATGTCTCAGTTCAACCCCCCACAACCACCTAACGACCCCCCTGAAGCCTCAACCTCGTATCAACCAGATGCGGATGAAAATCCGACATTTTATCAACCTTATGTGGATGAAGGTTTGGCTGAGAGATTTCAGGATGTTCTAAAAGCTGCCGACCAACCTCTGTATGCTGATTGTGAGGGATACTCTCAGCTATCCGCCGTTACCGAATTCATGAACATAAAAGCCGAATACAGTCTCCCTGAAACTTGCATGAATAGAGTCTTGCAGTCAGTAGGAGGGATGCTACCGCGAGATCATACCCTTCCGGATTCATATTACCACATGAAGCAGTTAATGTCTAAGTTGGGGCTACCTTGTGTTGAAATTGATGCGTGCCCGGAAGGATGTATGTTGTTCTGGAAGGAGGATGAGGCACTTGAGTTCTGCAAGTTCTGTGGTGGAGACAGATACAAACCTGTTCGTCAAGGTAAAAAGAAACCACGACATAGGTCTGCACTGTCTAAACTGTATTACCTCCCAATAGCTCCTCGACTGCAGAGGATGTACGCTTCGACTGCTACTGCGAAACACATGACATGGCATGTTGAGCACGAAACCAACGAGGGTATGATGGCTCACCCTTCGGACTGTGAAGCCTGGAGACAATTTGACCGCTGTCATCCTCAGTTTGCTATGGAGCCACGAAATGTGCGGCTGGGATTGTGCTCAGATGGATTTGCTCCTTTTGGCAGGTTTGGCAAGAACTATTCATGTTGGCCGGTCATGTTAACTCCTTACAATCTCCCTCCCGACATGTGCATGAAAAGTCATTTCATATTTTTGTCTTTAATTTGTCCGGGTTCCAAGGATCCTGGGCGAAAGATAGACATTTATCTCCAACCCCTTATCGAGGAGATGAAAGAACTGTGGGCCGTTGGGACACCAACTTATGATGTTTCATCAGATAAAATGTTTATCATGAAAGCTGCCATCATTTGGACCATTAGCGACTTCCCTGCCTATGGCATGCTTTCGGGATGGAGCACACACGGTTTGATGGGATGTCCGATATGTATGGAGAAATCAGGTGCCAACTGGCTTAGTTACAGCAAAAAAGGAAGTTACTTTGATTGTCACCGCAAGTTTCTCCCGGAAAGGCACCGATATCGAAAGGACAAGAAGTCTTTCATTAGAGGCAGAGCGGTACGAGAGAGCCCACCCCCGAGATTGACCGGTGAAGAAATTTATAACCGGGTTCGACGTTTTCCTACGGCTATGGAAGAGCCTAACCAAGAGCCATATGGGTATTGTGATACCCATAAGTGGACAAAGAGGGGCATATTCTGGGAGTTGCCTTATTGGAAAGACCTTCTCATCCGTCACAATTTAGATGTCATGCACACTGAGAAGAACGTCTTTGACAATATATTTAACACGGTGATGGATTTGAAAGGCAGAACTAAAGACGGTCTTGCAGCTAGGAAAGATATGACTATTTGGTGTGATAGACCCGAACTTTCTGTTGATCTAGAATATCAGGGCAAGGAAGTTCCAAAAGCAGTCTACCAGGTCACAGAACCACAAAAGGCAGCAATATTACAATGGCTTGCGTCTCAGAAGTTTCCAGATGGCTACTGCTCCAACTTGTCTAGATGCGTAGACATGAACAAACTTACCACGACGACGAGCATGAAAACTCACGATGCTCATGTAATAATGCAAAGACTTCTACCAATTGCACTAAAAGAGATGCTTCCTGAACACGTATGGTCCTGCATTACTGAAATCAGTTTGTTGTTTCAATCGATATGTTCCAGCGTTTTGGATGCGGCATCCCTCCGGAGACTACAAGATTCTGTTCCCATTCTGATGTGTAATCTAGAAAAAATAATGCCTCCATCGTTTTTCGATACAATGGAACATCTTATAATACATCTTCCGTATGAGGCTTTGACTGCTGGGCCCGTCTTCTATCGCTGGATGTACAGATTTGAAAGGTTAGTAACAATTTCATTTAAAAAAAGAATATTTAAAAAAATATCTGTTAACATGTGTACCGTTGTTATATTGCATTATTGCAGATTTCTAGGAGAGCTGAAAAAGAAAGTGACCAACAAGGCACACGTTGAGGCTTCAATTTGTCAAGCGTATCTTCAACAAGAAATCTCAACGTTCTCGTCTTTTTACTTCGAGCGTGACGTCATCACCAGAAGGAAGAACAGCGGTTACAAAGTGTGATCAATAGTCGTGGGATTGTCGACCCTTTGTTAGTATCATTAGCGTGGGGCCCTAGTGCCAGTGCCAAAGTGTGGCGGCAATATGTGATAAACGGTTACACATATCACACAGCCGATTACGGAGAGGGCCGACCAACAACGAACAGCGGGTTATGTGTCCCGACCATCGGTTATGATAACTCGGAAACCAATTTTTTTGGTGTCCTGCAGGAGATTCTGGAACTTGAGATGCCTTCTTGTGCGAAAAAATTGACATGCGTTCTGTTCCGTTGCACATGGGTCGACCCCACACGTGGCGTGCGCAAAAATCCGAAGTATAATATGATTGACGTCAACCAGTCTCGTGTGTACCCGAAAAATGAGCCTTTCATACTCGCCCAACAAGCAGCGCAGATTTATTATGCAGAATATCCTTCAACAAGGCGGACACAGAATCCTTGGGTGTGTGCATGTCCTGTCCGTCCGAACAAAATAAAATCACAAACTCAACACAAGGACGTTGATCTAGATGCTTTTCAGCAACAATTTTTCCAACCTCCGCCTATTGTTGAGACGGTCAACTATGACATCCAATTAAGTGATCCAAATGGCGGACGTGTTGAAGTCATGCCAGAAACGCACCTTCCGGACCCAACCATTCCATCTGAGCGCGAAATTGAGGAAATGTATGTAGCACAACAAAACGCTCAATATCAGGAAGAAGGTGAATGGATAGACGGTTCAGATACAGAAGAAGATACTGTATATGTAGAAAATGACGATTCTGATAGCGAATAATTGTGCTGTTGTAATTTCAATTTTATTGACTTCTAATATTTGTGCTCTTTTCTTCATCATCACATTCTAATATTTGTTGTGATTTTGTTGTTGTAATTTCAATTTCAATTCTGATAGCGTGTTCCGGCTCACGCGTCGTGCGTGGGATGAAAACGTAATGATGACAGTTCCTCGGAACCTTTGGGCTTACGTGTTGGGTCTGAAGGTTGAAGGAATAAACCTCAACAATGAACAAAAAATTGCTATATAATAATTCAACAACAACAAGTTTGTTATATCCATGTTATAAATTCAAAATATAACTTTTAACAATTTGAAGTTTAAAAATTAAAATTTCCACAATACAAAATTTAAAATTACTCCATATTATATCCATGTAACAAAAATTAATTTTAATTTTTCTATAATTAATTCGAAAATTACTCCATATTATATCCATTCGAAAACTAATTTTAATATTTTTTTATAATTCTAAATTTGAAAATTAATTTTAATAATTCTAAGTATATTAAATTAACTAAATTCGAAAATTAAAAAAAAAGTAATTTACTTTTACTAATATGAATATTATAATAAATTTAAATATTAATAAACAACTAACACAGATTTATTTATCAAATTTAAAAGATAAGTACAAAACACACAATTTATTTATCACATTAACCTAATTAACATTATTCATTCCTCAATCGGAAACTTTCAAGAGGCCTAGCCCACAACTCTTGAATTTTCCTTCGAGCTTCTTCGTTGATCGGGTCCATATACTCTGAACATTCTTGTGCACGTTGAAGCATCCGACACAAGTTTTTTGCTCTTGACTTGCCGAATGAGTCGGATTCCTCATCTTTATAATCGCCAAAACTGTCAAGGGGTCTAGACATCAACTCCTTGATTCTCTCGTATGCTTCAACGGTTTTCGGCTCCATAAGCTCTGTAATTAGCTTAAGTCGTTTCATACCTCTACACATGGAATCCCAGTCAATTGGATCTCGATTAGCCATTTTTCTCCACACCATTCTTGGGCCGGAGAAGGATGATTTATACCGAAAAAATGAAGTTGTCACGGTCTTAGTCACGGACTTAACCGTGACTAAACTGTCGTTACTGCAACGATCCAGACTGAATAAATTCAAATTTTGAATTTAGTCACGGTCGTAGTCACGGATTTGACCGTGACTACGCCGGTCAAAGGCGGCCCTGACACCTCGTCTGCCGCGGTCTGATTGCGTTGAATACGAACGGTTTAGTCACGGATGGATCCGTGACAACGGCCGTGACTAGGCCGTTATATAAAAGAAACACTTAGCGAATTTTCATCCTATTCTCGAACTCCCAACCCTAAACTCTCTCTTCAACTTCATACTCCCTCTTCAAATATTCCCTGAACCACCACCGCTACCCCGCCGCCGCCACAGGTCATCGCCGTCACCGCGCAACCGTCGCTTCCAACAACGCCGGCCTCCGCCTTCCGCCGACTTCCGCAGCCTTCAAGGTTATGTTTTCAACTCCTATTTTTTCGTATTTCAATAATTAATTATAAATTACTTTAATTTTTTAAAAAATGCAAGTTGAATACTCAAACTAGTTGAATCTATTTTTAAATAATGAATGTTACATTGTTAAATTTTTAAATAATTCGGAATTTTTTTATATATCCAAATGTATGATGTATATACTCAAATGCATACTTTAACTGCTCAATTAGTTGAATCATGCATGCTCTACTTGTTATATGTAATTTTTTTTATTCGAATGCGGATGTATGCTCTTTTTACTTCAGACTTATTGTTTTAGTAATGCATGCTCTATTTGTTGAATTTTGGTTCGAATGCATATCATGAAATTTGTTACATGTAATTATTAGGGATTATAATTAGTATATGTTTGGACTTATTTCTTGAATAATGCATGCTCTTAAGTCCTATTACGTTTTATCTAACAAAATTATTCCCTCAAATTATTTAAAAAAAATTCACCCCTTCATGTTAAACTTGCAAAAAGTTTAACATGTTTGAAATACTGAACAAACTATTTCGAATAATAAAAAAACTGTAATCGAAATTGACATATAAATATTAAAATATTTTTCAAAATATTAAACTGTGTTTCAAAATTAACAGTCAAATATTAAAGTGTTTTTCGAAATAAATTTATAAACTGTTTTGAATAATTAAGTAAAACAAAAAAATTAGACTGATTTTTAACTTATATTACCCAAACTAAAAAGTATAAAAACTGATTTTTATAACACTGTTTTTATACCAAAATCTATAAAACCGATTTTTCAAAAAAAAATTGACTATTAAGCTGATTTTTATAACAAACTAAAAAATTATAAAACTGTTAATAAGTATAAAACAGGTTTTTATAAAACTCCTTATAAAAAACTGTTTTTATAAAACTGTTTTTATAAAACTGTTTTTATAAAACTGTTTTATATATAACTGTTTTTATATAAAACTATATTTTATATCAAACTGTTTTTATATATAACTGTTTTTATATAAAACTGTTTTTATAAAACTCTTTTATATAAAACTGTTTTTTATATAAAACCGTTTATATAAAACTGTTTTTATATAAAACTGTTTTTATATAAAACTGTTTTTATATAAAACTGTTTTTATATAAAACTGTTTTTATAAAACTGTTTTTATAAAACTGTTTATATATAACTGTTTTATATATAACTGTTTTTATATAAAACTTTATTTTATATAAAACTGTTTTTATATAAAACTGTTTTTATATAAAACTGTTTTTATAAAACTCTTTTATATAAAACTGTTTTTTTATATAAAACTGTTTTTTATAACACTGTTTTTATATAAAACTGTTTTTGATAAGTCGAACTATTTTTTATTGTAGTAAAATGATTTTTATAATTTCCTTATATAAAGTATATATGTCCTCTCATGTAAACTTGCAAAAGTTTAACATGTTACCTTAAAGGCTAAGAAAAATGTATTGTATCAAAGTTATAAAAAATTAATTTAAAATATATCGACCCCTCATATTAGACTTATACACAGTTTAATATGTTACCTTAAAGACTAATCAATTCAAAAAGGTATTTATCAAAGTTACAAAAAAATCTTATCTTCTATTATAATTACACTAACATTTAAAAATATAAATTAATATATTTTAGATGAGCAATGAACAATCAACCTCGCGTACCCGCCCAAACTATGTGCCCTTAACCGAAGCTGAGCGTAACAATGAAAATGCGCTTTGGGTGACGCCCCACATGGTTGCGAAGTAAGTAACTATGAATTTTATCTAACGTGAAATAATTTTTTCAATGTATCATAATGTAATCAAAGCTTTAATAAATAAATAATATTAATTTTCTGAAGCGATCAAGAAGTGTTGGACCAAATCAAAGTCATAATTGGAGGACACTTTCTTGGAAACTGGGCTACATACACAGAAGTAGACCCCAAGGTTCGTGAACTTTGGTGGAACCTTTTCAAGGTAAGAAAAATGAATTTTCTCTGCGTAATTGTATTAACGTAACATTTGATAAAAGATAAATTAATTTATTTGTTTTTTTTATAAAGGGTCGGTTTCGATGGACTGAAGCCCAAGGTCCAGCTATTCTTAGAGCGTATAATGCTAGGATTTCAAATTGGCTTCGTCCTACTTTTAGGCGTGCCCGAACGAGCGGGGTAAAGCCTGGATGGTGTTCGGATGAGGTGTGGGCTAACCTCGTCCGTCACTGGTCTTCTGATCCAAACTTCTTGGCAAGAAGTCAATCCGGTAAGAAAAACCGGATGTCTGAGAAAGCCTTAGAAACCCAATGGCATGGGGGCCGCAAACCTCAGAGTAGACATAAAGAAGATCTTGTAAGTATTTTTCAAAAAACTTCACACAATTACAACCCTTTATTTTAACAATTAATTATGGATCTTAAGCCTTTTTTCCAAATTGTAGTCGGGGCCTGAGAAGAAGAAGGTCTCAATTCTCAAGGTCATCAAGCACTGCTGGACAAAGCACGGCGATGAGTCCGATGCCGATCTGCCACCCCGCCTCGCTGAAATCGAAGTAAGTAACACTATTTTGTTACTTATTTCCATTCAAAATCAAATTGAGTAACATTAAATTAACAATTTTTGTACATGTAGTCAAAGTATAACACAAATGTTGAGAAGAGGCGGGCAGAATTAGGCTTGACTCAGGAGGATGAGATTGATTCTGATGTGGAGGATGATGCCATCTTTGAGGCAGTTGGGGTGTACAAGGGCCGGGTCCCGTGCATGGGGGCTGAGGGGCAACGGATCTTGTATGACCGCAGCGGTGCTTCATCTTCCCGATCAAGGCGCGGAGAGGATCCGCGTATCGCTCAAATGCAGCGGGAGATGGAGGAGCAGCAGCGGGCCTTGGC